ATAGCCGCCCATATTGTTGAGGCAGTGGGTGGAGTTGTGGCATGGGTTGTGTCCGGAGGTGCATTCATTCACGTCTGAGGACAAAGTGGAGGTCAAGCCCTGGCCCTGACCGGCTCAGCCCTTCCCTGCATTCACTGCACCCACTTTCCTATCTGTCCACTGCCCCAGACCGGGCACCACGACTGCACGAGCTGCCGCTTGGTGACCTTCAACTTCGCTTTCAAAGCAAGTTGTGGTGGCTTCCCTGCAAGATGGACACAGTAGGAACCGTGGTCCCCAGTTTATAGGAGGTGTCACCAGGAGGGAAACCGAGTCACAGGGACTGGACTTCTTGGTCAAGAACTCTGGCTGCTCCCTCCTCGGCCAGGGCAGAAGATCCCCTCTTAGAAAAAGAAGTGACACCTTCCACTCGCCCATGACAGTTGAGGAAGGGGTGAGGCCTGCAGCTGCATGGGGGAAATCCAGGCCCAGAGAGCCCTGCTGCCTCCCTGTCTTTCAGTGGGAACTTTCAGGGGGAGGAATCCTCCACTGGGGGCCTGGTGGGGCCTTGACCTGGGGGGACCCCGTGTCTCTTCTCCCCCAGCTCCATCCCAGCTCCTGTCCGGCCTCACAGTGTCCTCGCCTCACAGTGTCCTCTACCTGCGCAGAGCCTCGGGTCCTCTGGCCTGAACACAAAGCCGGGCTGGCACAGGCAGGTGTAGCTGCCCGGGGTGTTGACGCAGGTGCCGTGGCTCCTGCAGAGTCTGGGGTTCTGCTGACATTCGTCCACGTCTGCAAGCAGAAGGGCGGCAGAAGGGCGCCTGCAGCCGGGGGTGCCCTTCGGGCTGGGGGTCGGCCACGGAAGCATCCAGAAGGCGCTCCTCCCATTCCCGACTGGCACTGAGGCATCCACTGGCTCGGTGGTGGCCCAGACCCTCTTGTCCAGAGGCCACCCGAGGCCTCCTGGCTCCTCTGCCGGCCTGGGCAGCTCCATCTGGGGTGGGGAGCACCACAGCCCCCCGGGGCCGGCCTGGGGATTCGGGGCAGACACCAGGGTGGGTCTTCCCAGGACCAAGTGGGGGAGACGCTGCTTCTCCAGCAGGCCGGGTCTGGCTTCCCTCGGCCTCCTCCCCAGGGCGGCTGCTCCCTGGCCGAGTTCTCCTTGGAAGCCGGTGGCCCTGGCAGGACGGTGCTGTCCCATCCACGCTGAGAACCAGCTCCGGGGGATGGCCCCAGACCCGTCCCTGAGCCCGGACCCAGAGATGAGGCTCAATGGCTGGGGGGAGAGGGCACCAGGTCGGTGGCCAGGCGAGGGGACCTTGGAGGTGGCTTTTTTATTTCTTTTGTTCCTGTTTTTATTTTTCATTTTTCAATTTTTTTTTCTGAGTGGGAGTCTCACTCTGTCACCCGGGCTGGAGTGCAGTGGCACTCCATGGCCATCGCAGCCTCGACCTGCTGGGCTCAGCTGATCCTTCCGCCTCAGCCTTCCACGTAGCTGGAACCACAGGCGCACGACACCGTGCCTGGATAACTTTTGATTTACTGTAGAGTTGAGGTCTCGCCATGTTGCTCAGGCTAGTCTGGAATCCACGGGCTCAGGCAATTCTCTTGCCGCCACCTTCCAAAGTGCTGGGATTACAGACGTGAGCCACCACACCTGGCTTTTTTTTTTTTCCTCCCTATTTTAGAGACAGGGTCTCTCACTGTCGTCCAGACTGTAGTGCAGTGGAAGCCTCACCACCACGCTTGGCTAATATTTGTTGTTTTTATAGAGATGGGATCTCTGTTGCCCAGACTGGTCTCAAACTCCTGGCCTCAAATGATTTTCTTGCCTCAGCCTCCCAAGTAGCTGGGACTCTAGGTGGGCACCACCGCACCCAGCTAATTATTTTCATTTTTGTAGGGACAGGCTCTTGCTATGTTGCCCAGGCTGGACTTGAACTCCTGGCCTCAAGCAATACTCTCACCTCCGCCTCCCAAAGAGCTGGGATTACAGGCATGAGCCACAGCACCCACCCCTTTTTCTGATCCCCGGAGAGGCATCCCATCTGTGGCCGTGGCAATAGTGGTGAGAATCCACGAGTGAGCAAAGCCAGCCAAAGACCCAGTGGCTGGACCAGGAGTAGATACCGATGGGGAGGCGGCCGCTGATTCTGTCATCTCGTTCTTTGCATTCCAACAGGGACATGAGCCTGCAGGCCCCACCAAGTGGGCACAGCTTCCATTTCTGTCCCCCCGTGGTCCAGCCCAGGGCTGGCCTTGGGGGACGCTTGGGCCTGGGGCAGTGGCCCCGGCGATGCTCTCTTACCCTCTGGTCCAGACCAGAACCTCGTCCTTCTAGTGTGTTTGGGGTCGATGTCATCCTGCCCACTCCCTGGCCACGGCATCACCCCAAACCTCCGTCTCTGGAGTTGCTGTCAGGCCCGTGACCGGAAACTCTCAGGGAGAGTCAGGGCGGAGCCTTGGGTGGGGAAGGGGCAGAGGCCGAGCACCCAGGAAGGCCATCAGGGCCCCAGGAGGCGTCTTCTCCAGGCGGGGCTCTTGGCTAGGAATAGCTGTCCGGCCCCTGCCGGTTTCCGGGTAGGGTCTGGGGTCCCTTACAGTGGAGGCAGGGAGAGTTCCAGGCGTGGCTGAGCCACGTGGGCCCCAGTGGGAGCTGGTCTCATCCCAACAGTCACTGATGACATCGCAGGGGATGGATATTGCGTGGAGCGCCCTTGCCGTGAGCTCGTGAGTGTTCTGAGTGCCAGCTCCCGCCCTTTGTCTGTTTGAGTCAGTCTCAGTCCGTCGCCCAGCCTGAAGTGCAGTGGCATGACCAAGGCTCACCACAACCTCGACCTCCTGGGCTCAAGCAATCCTCCTGCCTCAGCCTCCTGAGTAGCTTGGATTACAGGGGCACACCACCGTGCTCAGCTAATTTTTTGATTTTTTTTGTAGAGATGGGGGTCTCGCTGGTCTTGAACTGGGCCTAAGTGATCCACCGACCCTGACCTCCCAAAATGCTGGGATTACAGGTGTGAGCCACCGTGCCCAACTGGGACTCTTTTTTCCCTTTCTTTTCTCTGTTTTTTGTTGGTTTGTAAGGTTTTATTTTGGAGACAGGTCTTGCTGTGTTGCTCAGGCTGGAGTGTAGTGGCATGATTGTGGCTCACTACTGCCTCAACCTCCCTGGACTCAGGTAATCCTTCTGCCTCAGCTTCCCAAGTAGATGGGACCACAGGTGCACACCACCACGCCCGGCTATTTTTTTTTTTTTTTTTTTTTAGTGAGAGTCTCACTCTGTCATCCAGACTGGAGTGCAGCAGCCACTCCCGGCCACCGCAGCCTCTACCCACTGGGCTCTGGCGATCCTTCCGCCTCAGCCTTCCGAGTAGCCGGAATTACAGGCGCGCGCTACCACACCCGGCTGATTTTTTTATTTATTGTAGAGATGAGGTCTCACCTGCCCAGGCGGGTCTCGAACCCATGGGCTCAAGCAATCCACTCACCTCAGCCTCCCAAAGGTGCGGGATTATAGGCTGAGCCACCGAGCCCGACTCGCCTGGCTATTTTTTACATTTTTTTTAAAAATGGAGATAGTCTTGCTATGTTGCCCAGGCTGGCCTCGAAATCCTGGGCTCAGCAATCCTCCCGCCTTGACCTCTCAAAGTGCTGGGATTTCACTACTATTATCACACCTCACACGTCAACAGTGCTTTCTGAATAAGTGTCCAGGCCAATGTCATCCACACAGCAGTCAGAATTTGAGTCCAGGCAGCTGGTCCCTGAGCCTGCCCTTGGCCCTCACACCACCCTGCCTCGCTGTGCTGGTGGGACAAGGACACGCACACCCTGTCCCATCTCGGACCCCAGGCACTGAGCCTCCATCCAGGGCCCCGCCCCTTGGATGCTGCAGGAACAGCTCTGGTGACCCCTAACCTCATGGAGAGAGCGACTGGGGACAAGGGGTGGCTCTTACCTTCACACGTGTTCTCACTCTCGTTCCTGAAACTTGTTGCCCCAGAAACGAGCCCGTATCCTGGGCTACACGTGCAGTAGTAGCTCCCATCCGTGTTCCTACAGTCTGCGAATTTCCCGCAGGACACATTTGAGGGTGGCACACACTCATCGATGTCTAGGACACAACAGGGCAGAGGGTTACTGAAGGAAGCCAGAGCATAACCCCAAAGGGGTAAGTTCCCTCAGGACAGAGACTCGATCACCCAACCTGACTCCCTGGCAGGGGCCTGGTGCCTTGTAGCCTTTGGAAAGAATCTTGAGCTGTGCTGCAGCTGGAGCAAGCCATTCCTGCAGGCCACCCTATCAGCCCTGCTCCTCTCAGTTCTCTGGCTGGTGCCCCAGATTTGGAGACCGCAGGTAGTGCCGAGATAGCAGATGGGCAGGAAGGTTGGCCTCCCCCTTCTCAGTCACAAGGGTAAACTGAGACACAGACTCCAGACTCCTGGGGAGCCAGCCCCTCTCCCTCCAGGAAGCCATGCCAGTTCACTTCTTCTCCCTCTGCCTTCATAGCCTTTCCTTTCTGTGTCCTCTGGCCGCGTGACAGTGGCCCCTAACGACCACTCACGTCCCTCACCGGCCCCGGGCACTGCCTCATAACCTCTGACACGCCCCCACATGCCCGCGTCTGTACCGTCACAGGTTTCTGTGGGGCTCATGAAAATCTCCTCAGACGAAGAAATGAAGCCCGGGTTGCAGCGACAGGCGGTGGCGTTGACGCATGTGGAACTGGCAGGGCACCACCGGGCACAGCCTGCGGGGGCAGAGGGCGTGGTCAGAAGGCGAGGGCAGAGCCAGGCGCTGGGGAGGGGTCAACAGGTCCCAGGTGAGGGGGTGCAGGGGGAGGTGGAGGCGGCCTCTCACTCCCTGGGGTGTGGGATGAGGGGGCCTGGGCCTTCCCCGGCTGTGGCCACACCGCTCCCCACAGACTCACCCCCAGAGTTCTGGGTTCCTGCTCCCTGCAGAGTCAGTAAGACGCACAGCACTGCAACAGAGAGGACAGGGGCCAGGGGGACCCCAGAGCCAGAGAGGAGGCCTGAGGGTGATGCATTTGGGGGGACGGGGCTGCTGACCCCTGCCAGGCTCAGGTCCTGTCCATGGCTCAGAGGGAGCCAAAGTGTGGCACGCCAGAGGGTCTGTCACCCGTTGTCTTTTTTCTTTTTGAGGAGACAGGATCTTGCTCTGTTGCCCAGACTGGAGAGCAGTGGCTCGATCTTAGCTCACTGCAGCCTCCAACTCCTGGCCTCAAGTGATCTCTTGTCTCAGCCTCCTGAGTAGCTGGGACTACAGGCACGCGCCACCACGCCTGGCTAATTTTTAAAAATATATTTAGAGATGGTTGTGGTCTCTGTGCTTTCAAGGCTGTCTTGAACTCCTGGGCTCAAACAATCCTCCTGCCTTTGCCTCGTGAGTAGCTGGGACTACAGGCAAGTGCTATCATGGGTAAAAGTAGCCCAGCTACTTTATTTTTTTATTTCTATTTTGATTTTTGAGTTGGAGTCTCACTCTGTCACCCAGACTGGAGTGCCGTGGCCACTCCCGGCCACCGCAGCCTCGACCTGCTGGGCTCTGGCGATCCTTCCGCCTCAGCCTTCCGAGTAGCCGGAACTACAGGTGCACGCTACCACGCCCGGCTAGTTTTTTGATTTATTGTAGAGATAAGGTCTCGCCAGGTTGCCCAGGCGGGTCTCGAACCCGCGGGCTCAGGCAATCCACTCACCTCAGCCTCCCAAAGGCGTGGGATTACAGGCTGAGTCACCGAGCCTGGCTTATTTTTTTATTTTTTTGTAGAGACCAGAGCTTGCTGTGTTGCCCAGCTGGTCTCGAACTCTGGGATCAAGTGATACTCTTGTCTCAGCCTTGCAAGTTGCTGTCCTTTCTTTAGGTTGAAATGGAGGGCCAGAGCGGGTCCTCTCGATCCCCGGCTCTAGGCGCTCCAGCCTCGCACCCTTCCTTGTGCACACACGCCACACCACCACCGCTGTCAGCCACAGTGGCTTGTCCTGGGACCCAGTGGTGACATATCGCCCGGGCTCCCCACATGCAGGAACTCACGGCGGGCGCCTGATGGAGCCCCGGGGGAGGGTGAACCCACCACCACCACTCCTGCTGCTCCGGGGGGGGGGGCCCCCACCAGGGCACGACCTGGAGTCCTCCTCAGGTCACCAGGGTCTTCAGAGATGGGGACCTGGGGACCTCCCTACCCTCCACCAGAGAGACACAGAGAGAGACAGAAGTGGGGAGAAAACAGATGAGAGAGAGAGAGAGAGACACAGAGAGACAGAAGTGGAGAGAAAATAGAGAGAGACAGGGATGAGAGACAGAGATAGAGAGATGAGAGAGACAGAGAGATGAGACACAGAGATGAGAGATGAGACAGAGAGAGAAATGGAAAGAAAAGAGAGACAGGGGCCAGGCTCGGTGGCTCAGCCTGTAATTCCAGCACTTTGGGAGGCCGAAGTGAGTGGATTGCCTGAGCCAGCGGGTTCGAGACCCGCCTGGGCAACTTGGCGAGACCTCATCTCCACTATAAATCAAAAACTAGCCAGGCGTGGTAGCGCGTGCCTGTAGTTCCAGCTATTTGGAAAGCTGAGGCGGAAGGATCGCC